AGATGTGAGCTCTCAGAGTGGGGCAGGGTTTAATACCGGTGTGACATTTGGAAGAGTGTCTGGGGGAATGCTCTGTGCCTGCATATTGTGGCTCAAGAGCACTTCACCGTTTGCCAGCCTTTTGATTTTTCTTGAATTTCAGATTCCTAAGGGAGTTAGGCTGAAAAGGAAGAGTTTTTATGCTTCCTTAAAATAACCGCTTACGTCTCGTTCCACGCAAATTAAAGCCCCCCCACCAGAAGTTTTCACACCACAAATGTGATAGAAGTAGAAAACAGAGAGTCTGACTCAGTACTGGGTTATACCCAGTGCTATTCCTCTGTCATTGTCTCCCTTTTCTATTCCAGCCCCTAAATTCCTTCCTTCTTGCTGCCTTTTGCCCACCCTCTCTTTCTCAAGCCTGACAGAGCTTGCCAAGCTCTTGGCCAGCACTCAGCAGTCAGACACAGCCACATGTGCCTCTCCTGTGGGCTGAAGGATGAGGAATATAGCTGGTTATGTCACGTGTAAGGCAGAGTGTCACAAATCCCATCTTGTGAGCTACAGCCTGCTGCAGATGACAACAGGAAAAAGCCGTGTTTGTGTGTCATCAGGGAGACAGCAAAGTAGCAAGGCTTATTGCATTCTTATTTTCACTTTCAGTTCACAATTTAAATACCCTCAAGGAACAAATTTGCWCTGCTTATAACAGCCTTTTTGAATGATAATGTCATTGGAAATTTCATTTTGCCTTTGCACAGGAAGACAACAGCTGTTTTCTGCAAGGCAAAGAAATCGTAATCTCTACAATTCTTCAATCCTGTGCACCAAAAGCTTTAGGATCTGTCATTTACTCAAACTGATAGATGTCTGTGCAGTGCTTAGCAGACTGATAGTTATTTTCTTGATACGTGTCTTTGTGGTGCTATTCCAATTTAAATGTTAGTAATAAAAACCTTACAATGCAAATATATTTCAGCTCATGTAAAGGAATGTGATCAGCAGCTCACATGAGTTTTTAATCAGAGGAAGTGTTCCTAATGCAAGCAAGGGCAATGGAATTTGGTCCCAAAATGTCCAGCTGTGCAATTTCTGCRTGCTCAGGTGTGTGATTACTGGCAGGCCAAAGTGCTTCTGCCAAATTCTCCCAAAATTTCGTCTTTCTTCCCTGAGCAGAGAGGAATTGCATTCTCATGATGATACATGCACTCCCACTGGAAATCAGCCAGGTGGAAAGAAAAAAAAAAAGCCAAAATATGTTTTTCAATGCATCAGCTGTCTCAAGTGCTCAACACATGTARGGAGTTCAGTGTGACATGGGACCTGCTCTTGCCTCCTGTGCAGATGGATGCATCCCTGAACTCATGTGAGTTGGCAAAGATTTGCCATCAGTTGGGAACTCTGCTCTAGTCCAAGTAGTATCACCTCTCCTTGAGCTTTCCCATGCCATATGGACATGTCTGGTGGAGAGGCAAGAAGGGATTTTCTAGGAGCAATGTGAGGGCTGGAGCAGCTCTCAGGGACAGCATCTGTGTTTACTTGTTTCAGCACTTCATGGCAATCATGAAATTAGGGACCTTTTCTTGTGGATGATTTCACTCACCCCAGGTAGATTCTGACAGGTTGGTGGAGTAAGAAAAATAATACAATCTGTGAGAACTTCACAGTGCTCAAACACAGTTATACAGCTGCATTTTGTCTAAGTGTAAATAATAATATTGCTGCATTGTTGCCTGGCTGAAAGTGGCCCAGGTTCAAAGCTGGATTTGGTTATGTGCTTCAGGCAGTGGGGTTGTGTGCCTGTGCCAGATGGAGCTTTTAAATTTTCATCAGCAGGTTTATAAACACAAGAATATCCTTTATCTGCCCCCAGCTCTTTTACTAATTAGCTGCAAATGCTGAACTTCAATTAGTATGGAGTGGAGGAGCAGATGAAATACATTCTTACTCATGATTATCCATCATGTGAGAATGAAATAGACACTAATAATGACTGTTTAAGGTTTTTGGGGCTTCTCTGTCRGCTTTTTTTTTTCCTTCTTTAGTACTCAGTAGTTCAAATGAGTGAAAATAGCTAAAAATAATGAACCAGATTCTCCGGTGATGAAATTCTGTTGCAGGCAGAGTGAAAGTTTTCAACTTTGCTCATCTTTGCATTGACCAAGCCAACATAAGGATGTGTGACAGCTGTGTTGTTAAATTCTCCATAGAGGGATTTTACAAAGTAATTCATAAAACTACATTTTTCCTGCTGCTGAGAGGTGTCTAGAGAGGTCTAGGCTTTGAAGCAACCCTGCTGTGTGTTAGCAGAGAATCCCAGCTTTCCTGGGGGCTGCAGGTGCATGGAGAGGCGAKGGGATTGATGAGTTGAATGCTCTCTTTGCTTTTAGCAGCAATGTTTGCTGGCTTAAAACATGTTCCTGTGTGCTCTTTGTGTGCCCCAGCTGAGAAGCTCTTTCTGGACCCTGCAGGCATCCAGCTACTGGGCTTGTTCCCTGTGGTTTATAAATCATTCAGGAGATTTCCACCTTTCAACAGCAGTACCAGCTCTTTAGAGGGTATGGAGGGAGGATCTCTGCCTTAACTGATGTCTTTTAGGGAGGAAAAGGTTTGGGTGTGTTTTCAAACATCAGTCTTAGCACACAGTTTGAGAATGTATTGGAAAATTGTCAGGGAGGCAGAGGAAAGGCATGACTTTGTGAGGTATAGGTTGGTTCTGGGAATCCTGCATCCAACTTGTTGTGTCATGGAATCATAGAATGCTCAGAGGATGGAATAAACCTTAAAAACCATGTAGTCCCAATCCCCCTGCCATGTGCAGGGGCACCTTTCCCCAGACCAGGTTGCTCAAGGCCTCACTTAGCCTGGCTCTGAATACTCACAGAGCTGGGGCATCCAACCCTGCTGGATCCAACCCTTTCCTGGAAAAGTAATCCACCCAAGAGGATAGGGCCTACTGCTGGAAAATTGAGATACATGCATTTGACTCTGAAAGAAAATTCTCCCAATGATAATAACTGAGTATGTTCTGACTAATGAAACCCCCAAATATACCCCTGAGACTCTTACTGGTCACTGTGCTTCCACAGAGRATGTCTGCTTTATGGGCCATCCTGACCTTGGAATAAAATGCAGGAGAATCAYTGGAATTGGAAAWGAYMTTTAAAAWCATGGAGTCCAACCATAAACCTCACACTGCCAAGTCCAGCACTGAACCATGTCCCCAAGTGCCACAYCTACACGTTGTTTAAACACCTCTAGAGATGGTGACTSAAYCACTTCCCTGGGCAGCCTGTTCCAGTGCTTGACAACCCTTCCTGTGAAGAAATTTTTCCTAATATCCAAACTAAGATGGTGGGAGGAAGGCAGAGCAGCATTGCAAAAGTCTCCCCTGACGACACGAAACCAGCAGCAATTTTCACTTCCCGAGTCATGCAGGCTTGATGTCTGTAGCTGGAGGCAGCTGCTGCTCTGTCACAAAAATGTGGCCATGAGCAGGAGGTGGCACAAAGCCAGCACGACACAGGGGTCTGCAATTGCCACAGGAGTCTGARTGCAAGTGCCATTTAATTGAATTATCAGAGATGTATGAGGCTTCAGTTCTAACTTAGCATAGGCTGAGAGATCACTGAGGAAAATGGACCCATTCTCTGATTTGCTCTTCTGGTGGCTAAGATCACTGTTAAAAGAAGGCCACCAGGCTTTGCTTTGTACTGCATTGGAAGTGACACATTGCAAGGGGAGGGAAAGTTCTATTTAAAATTGCATAATCAGAGATGGAGTGAAATTTGAAAAGAAAGATCAAAGATAGGAARTAGGGATAGGAAGAAAGAGACAAGTTACAGTGTGGCTGCACAGGCATCATAATTTCGTTTTAATGAGCCTCTGCTCAGGAAGGGAAGGGYGGCTCTTTGTGTACCAGGAGAGAAAAAGCCTTCTGCCACCACACTGAGATTCCCTTTGAACATGGTCTCCTCTTACCAAAATGAAGGACTGCGCTCTGCTTCGCATTTCACAGAATTAGAAAAGGCCAAGTTGTTTTCTGCCTGCATCCTGCTTATGTAACTTGCAGATGACGGCTGTGCAGCCTCTGGCTGAGCCCTGGAAAATTTCCTTGTCGGTGAGTCAGGTGCTTGGCAAAGTGGTGCAGTGGGCTTGGAGAGGAAATTGCAGTCACAGCCCTACCTGGGTGACAGAGCCCAGCTCAAGGGCTCTTTATGGAGGMTCTTCCTGCTGGAGAAGCCTGCTGGTCATCCTGGCCTTGTCACTGCCAAATGTCTCTGTTGTGCTGGATTAATTGGGGCAAAACATCTCCCTTGATTGCAYTGGAGCAGGGGAAAACCACAGTCCTGATTGTTATCCAGAGATGGGGGTSAGTGAGGATGGAGGAGAAGAGCTAAGCAAGAATGAGCCCTTGGCTTTTATATAAATTTTATCCATAGAAATTCCATCAGGATGTGGGGAGAGCATTTAGTGCAGTGGGGCTGCAAAAGTGGGATTTTCATGGGGAAGSACAGAGTCCCCATTCTGCAACTCTGTGCAATCACCAGAGCAATGTTGGTTTGGAGGCTGTGAATCTGGCTGAAAGCTGGGGGACTTTGTGCTGTAGGAGTAACACTGAGAACCATGAAAAGGTAAGGATCAGACCCAGGGATGAGGGGAAAAACTGAAACAGATGCACAACTGTCTCAGCTGTGCAGCAGGCTTCCCTGTGGGTCAGTTGTCATCTCCAGCAGCAGCAGATGCCAATCCCCACCTCTATGGAAGTGTAACTGAGAGGAACCAGGAGGTCTCTACCACTAAGTAGGTCCAATCACTGCAGGGTGTTGAGGATGGGACAACTGTGATGTCCCCAAATCAGTCCATCTTACACCAATCTGAGCAGAAAGGCTCTGTGGCAGCTCTTGGTTTGCTCCTGCAAAGGGCCCRTTTGCCAGACTGCAGTGGGAGGGGGACAGAAGGAGACTTTGCCACAGGGATGACCCGGTGACTAATGAGTTTCATTGATCCTGTGCTTGCAGGAGGGAGCAATCCATCACCYGCAGCTCCCACGGGCTGTTCTGCTGAAGGCTCTGCAGAAGCAAACGTGAGATGTTACCCAAAAGCAGGGCTGTGTGAGCCCTCTGAACTTAATGATGCTGAGCTCTCATGGGTGTATGAACGTGCCAGTGCAGAAGATCCTGGCATCAGGGAATCTCTGGATCACTTCTACAAAACCTACTGCCAGAAGCAGCCAGAGACAAAGGATCCGACCTACGAGGCTGCCTCACGGTGTCTGTYGCAGAAGATTTCAGAGCTGGAACAAAAGGATGGAACAAAATATGTGTCACGTTGCCTGCAAATGGCACAGTTGGTCTTGAACAGAGATGGATGTAAGATCTTTCCAAACCATCCCGCTTCTGCTTGCTTTTCAAAGGCRGCTGAAGGAGAAGTCTTGTTGGAAAACAGGAGGAGGATACCTGGGCTCTCAGATGATATCCTGCAGTTCCTCTTGAAGCAAACACAGGCAGAACGTAGCCATGATGGGCCACAGGAGAAGTGAGCACAACACTGCTTTGTTTCTGTCATTGAAGCTTCATTTTCACTCCATAAAGAGGAGATTTTCCTAGAAAGACATTGTTCTCCAAGCACCACCTTCAACACCAGATAATCGACAGAGAGTTGACCCAGAGCAGACCTTGCACCTTGCTCTCTGCAGGGCAGCACTGCCTAAGGAGCATTTGTGGTCCCCATGTAGCTGCTTGGGATGGCTGATGCTGTGTTTGTTGCTGGGACATCAAACATGATAATTTATACCTCCCAGGCTTTTAAGGATGTAGGATGACCTACATCCTTACCCCAGCTCAGCGTTGGTCCTGCCCAAATTCAGCCCCTGTGTAGGCATGGCTGTCCATCCCAAACAGACTGTTCGAGTGACCACGGTGTGCCCCAGCCCTACAGAGAGAAAATTAAGATTTAATTCTGTACCTGGCTGATACTGTAACACACTTGCCTCCACGGGGTGCCTGTTAGCTGTGGGTTTTTTACCTACAGACATTTGACCCCACAGATCATGATTGCAATGCCAGGTGAGATTTGCTTACAGAAAAAGTGTGTGTGCGCTTGAAAAAGAAAATACAGCTTCTAAACATGTTCTCTGACAGTGCTTCTGTCCTGTTTGCCTCCCCATCATCACCCCCCTAACAACCTTCGGTTCCTTTCTGTCTTTCATGATGGTGCTAATGAGATCCCTGGGGGAACGTTCCCTTTAAAATGAARCGGATCTCTCTGAGCCCAAAGAGGCTGATATCAGTCAGCAGCAGAGCAATGAACCCACACACAACCACTTAAAGGTTTTTCTCTTGGAAATCTCCTGGCTCAGTGGTTTCTTTGCTGCTTTATTGCCTCTGCCAGGCAGATAAATGTCTTTGTGCATGTTTTCCACCCACTGGCTTGTCCCCTGAAAGAGTGGTTTGCTCTAGTGATGTTGGTTGCTCACTGGGGAGGCCATTCCTCAGTGTGGGTCCAGAGGAAGGGATGTGTTTAAGGGGACAGCAGATGGGCAGAG